CATCTCACATGCAAAGACACACATAGGCACAAAATAAAGGGATGGGGAAATATTTACCATGCAAATGGAAAGCAAAAAAAAACAAAAAAAAAAACCGGGGTTGCAATCCTAGTCTGTCATAAAACAGCCTTTAAACCAACAAAGATCAAAAATGACAAAGAAGGGATTAATGCAACAAGAAGAGCTAACAATCCTAAACATACATGCACCCAATACAGGAGCACCCAGATTCATAAAACAAGTTCTTTGAGACATACAAAGATACTTAGACTCCCACAGTGAAAGTGACAGACTTTAACACCCCACTGTCAATATTAGACAGCTCAAGGAGACAAAAAATTAATAAGGATATTCAGGACTTGAACTCAGCTCTAGATCAAGCAGACCTAATAGACACCTACAGAACTCTCCACCCCAAATCAACAGAATATACATTCTTCTCAGCACTACATCGCACTTATTCTAAAATTAACCACATAATTGGAAGTAAAATACTCCTCAGCAAATGTAAAAGAATGGAAATCATAACAATCTCTCAGACCACAGTGCAATCAAATTAGAACTCAGGATTAAGAAACTCACTCAAAACCAAACAACTACATGGAAACTGAACAACCTGCTCCTGAATGACTAATGGGTAAATAACGAAATGAAAGCAGAAATAAATAAGTTACTTGAAACAAATGTGAACAAAGATACAATGTACCAGAATCTCTGGGACCCAGCTAAAGCAGTGTTTATAGGGAAATTCATAGCACTAAATGTCCACAGGAGAAGGCAGGAAAGATCTAACATCGACACCCTAACATCACAATTAAAAGAACTAGAGAAGCAAGGGCAAGCAAATTCAAATGCTATCAGAAGACAAGAAATAACTAAGATCAGAGAAAAACAGAAAGAGATAGAGACATGAAGAATACTTCAAAAAATCAATGAATCCAGAAGCTGTTTTTTTGAAATGATTAACAAAATAGATAGACTGCTAGCAAGACTAATAAAGAAGAAAACAGAAAAGAATCAAATAGACACAATAAAAAATGATAAAGGGGATATCAGCACTGGCCCCACAGAAATACAAACTACCATCAGAGAATACTATAAACACCTCTACACAAATAAACTAGAAACTCTAGAAGAAATGGATAAATTCCTGGACACATATACCCTTCCAAGACTAAACCAGGAAAAAGTTGAATCCCTGAACAGACCAATAACAAGTTCTGAAAATGAGGCAGTAATTAATAACCCACCAACCAATAAAAGCCCAGGACCAGATTGATTCAGAGTTAAATTCTACCAGAGGTACAAGGAGGGGTTGATAGCATTCCTTCTGAAACTATTCCAAACAATAGAAAAAGAAGGAATCCACTCTAACTCATTTTATGAGGCCAGCATCACCCTGATACCAAAACCAGGCAGAGACACAACAAAAAAAGAAAATTTCAGGCCAACATCTCTTATGAACATTGATGTGAAAATCCTCAATAAAATACCGGCAAACAGAATCCAGCCACACAAAAAGCTTATCCACCACGATTAAGTCGACTTCATCCCTGGGATGCAAGGCTGGTTCAACATATGCAAATCAATAAATGTAACCCATCACATAAACAGAACCAATGACAAAAACCACATGATTACCTCAATAGATGCAGAAAAGGCCTTCAATAAAATTAAACACCCCTTCATGCTAAAAACTCTCAATAAACTTCTCAATAAACTAGGTATTGATGGAACATATCTCAAAATAATAAGAGCTATTTATGACAAACCCACAGCCAATATCATACCGAATGGGCAAAAGCTGGAAGCATTCCCTTTGACAACCGGCACAAGACAAGGATGCCCTCTCTCACCACTCCTATTCAACATAGTATTGGAAGTTCTGGCCACAGCAATCAGGCAAGAGAAAGAAAGAAAGGGTATTCACATAGGAAGAGAGGAAGTTCAATTGTCTCTGTTTGCAGATGACATGATTGTATATTTAGAAAACCCCATCGTCTCAGCACAAAATCTCAAGCTGATAAACAACTTCAGCAAGGTCTCAGGATACAAAATCAATGTGCAAATATCACAAGCATTCCTATGCATCGAAAACAGCAAGTGGACAACCAAATCATGAGTGAACTCCCATTCACAACTGCTACAAAGAGAATAAAATACCTAGGAATACAACTTACAAGGGAGGTGAAGGACCTCTTCAAGGAGAACTACAAACCACTGCTCAAGAAAATAAGAGAGGACACAAACAAATGAAAAAAAAAATTCCATGCTCATGGATAGGAATGATCAATATCGTGAAAATGGCCATCCTGCCCAAAGTAATTTATAGATTCTATGCTATCCCCATCAAGCTACCATTGACTTTCTTCACAAAATTAAAAATATACTTTAAATTTCATATGGAACCAAAATAGAGCCTGTATAGCCAAGACAATCCTAAGCAAAAAGAAGAAAGCTATAGGCATCGTGCTACCTGACTTCAAACTATACTAAAAGGCTACAGTAATCAAAACAGCAAACAGCATGGTACTGGTACCAGAACAGATATATAGACCAGTGGAACAGAACAGAGGCCTCAAATAGCACCACACATTTACAACCATCTGATCTCCGGCAAACCTAACAGAAACAAGCAATGGGAAATGATTCCCTATTTAATAAATGGTGTTTGGAAAACTGACTAGCCATATGCAGAAAACTGAAATTGGAATCCTTCCTTACACCTAATAGAAAATATAACTCAAGATGTATTAAAGACTTAAATGTAAGATCTAAAACCATAAAAACCCTAGAAGAAAACCTAGGCAATACCATTCAGGATATAGGCATGGGCAAAGCCTTTATGACTAAAACACCAAAAGCAACGGCAAGAAAAGCCAAAATTGACAAATGGGATCTAATTAAACTAAAGAACTTCTGCACAGCAAAAGAAACTATCATCAGAGTGAACAGGAAACCTACAGAATGGGAGAAAAATATTGCAACCTATCCATCTGACAAAGGGCTAATATCCAGAATCTACAAAGCACTTAAACAAATTTACAAGAAAAAAACAAACCTATCAAAAAGTGGGTAAAGGATATGAACAGACGCTTCTCAAAAGAAGAGATTTCACTTTGGGAGGCTGAGGTGGGCGGATCACAAGGTCAGGAGATCAAGACTATCCTGGCTAACACGGTGAAACCCTGTCTCTACTAAAAATACAAAAAATTAGCCGGGCATGGTGGCATGCACCTGTACTCAGGAGGTCCCAGCTACTCAGGAGGCTGAGGCAGGAGAATCACTTGAACCCAGGAGGTAAAGGCTGCAGTGAGCCAAGACCACGCCACTGCACTCCAGCCTGGGTGACAGAGTGAGACTTTGTCTCAAAAAAAAAAAAAAAAAGAAGGAGAAATTTATGCAGCCAACAAACATGAAAAAGAAAGCTCATCACTGGTCATTAAAGAAACACAAATCAAAACCACAATGAGATGCCATCTCACACCAGTTAGAATGGTGATCATTAAAAAGTCAGGAAACAACAGATGCTGGAGAGGATGTGGAGAAATAGGAACGCTTTTACACTGTTGGTGGGAATGTAAATTAATTCAACCATTGTGGAAGATAGTATGGCAATTCCTCAAGGATCTAGAACCAGAAATACCATTTGACCCAGTAATCCCATTACTGGGTATATACCCAAAGGATTATAAATCATTCTACTATAAAGACACATGCATACGTATGTTTATTGCAGTGTTGTTCACAATAGCAAAGACTTGGAACCAACCCAAATGCCCATCAATGACAGACTGGATAAAGAAAATGTGGCACATATACACCATGGAATACTATACAGCCATAACAAAGAATGAGTTCCTGTCCTTTGCAGGGACATGGATGAAGCTGGAAACCATCATCCTCAGCAAATGAATGTGGGAACAGAAAACCAAACACCACATGTTCTCACTCATAAGTGGGAGTTGAACAATGAGAACACGTGGACACAGGGAGAGGAACTTCGTACACTGGGGCCTGTTGGAGGGTGGAGGGCTAGTGGAGGGATAGCATTAGGAGAAATACCTAATGTAGATGACAGGTTGAAGGGTGCAGCAAACCACCATAGCATGTGTATACCTATGTAACAAACCTGCACATTCTGCACATGTATCCCAGAACTTAAAGTATAATAATAATAGTCTATTTGCTTACAAACTGAACATAAAGGAACACTTTTTAAAAGAAATCGATTTACTAATATTGTCTTCAATAAATCCAGACACTTCGCCACTTACATTCATCAGAAATGACAAATGATAATGTAGCTTTTAACATAAGTCTCTTCATGTAAGTACAAAAGGAAATCTCTTGCTTTGGACTAATCTTTCCTTATCTGGGGAATTTTTTGGAAAGAAACAAAAAGCTTATGTTTCTTTTTCAGCATATGCATAAACAGAACAAAATAAAAACAGCAAGCTTTAATATCTTTCTCATTTTAATCTTGCTAAAAAATATTTAATCATTTGTATAAAAATATTGCAAGCAAAAAAAGAGTATTGTGGTACAACTCAATTTAATAAAAATCAGTGGATGAGTGAATTTCATGTACATAAATTATACCTTGATAAAGTTGTTTTTAAAAGTTCTAAATCAAAGGTGAACCAAACGAGTATTTCATTCAAAGAAGTCCATTGGGGGAAAAAAAAAAAAACATATCACCCATCAATTCCTAATCAATGTTACTAATTACCTATTTGATCTCCACATGATCATTATTACCATATATTTATGGATCACTGTTCAGTTTGCAAAATTCACATGACAACTCTGTGAGGTGAACACCTGAGCTATTATTACTCTGATATAGCAAGTTTTTAAAAACTGGCAACTGACTTGCCTAAGAGTCACAGGACTATTAAGTATCCATCCAAAAGCAAGCCCAGTTCTGTTGAACCTAATTCTTCTCAATCAGCACTGTTCTTCCCTCTAAATCATTTTAAAACAAATTTCCTACCTACCATTGCATTCAGGAAAACTTTGCTCGTTGGCGAGAGTACTTATAAAGTCATCTAACTCCACCATTCCATTCTCTGTTTTTAAAAAAAGAGTTTAGATTATACATTCTGGTGTATTTTTGCATACAGGTAAATTTACATTTTAACACAACTATTTTTAAAATTTACTTGATCCTTCATTTCATCATCCTATTTCTCCTTCATGTCATGTCTCTTATAATTCTTTCTAGATTAGGTCAGTTCATTTGGACAATTATTGGGAGCATATTAGTGCCAAGAACCATGCTAGGCACCAAGAATACAAAAATAAGAAAGACACAGTCCCTGATTTTTCAATATCTATTACATGCAAAGGACTGAGTTAGATACTAATTTCTTAACAGATCTAGGAAAAAAGAAACATATCCATACAGACAGACCACGAGAGAGTTAAGGAGTCTATTTCATACCATCTTGAAAACCCACTCAATATGCTATCCATTAAGACACCTTAACAATACTAACCAGCCCTAACAAAACCAAGTATCCCCATCTCTATCTCCCTAGTATCCATGTGGTCCAAAGTTTTACCTATGTTTAGATATAAACCCTCACAGTGATCATGTCAAGCAGCAAAAAGGACTCAATAGTTTTAGTGCCACCCACTCTTTATATAATTTTTAAGTGAATCTTCTTTCTGATTTACCTTAGCTAAGAAATTGTGCCCTGATTCTGAGGATTCACTTTTAATGTTATTCTCAAATCAGTCTTTCCCCAAAATGTCACCTCCTTCCTCTCCTCAGTTGAACTTCGGTTGTGGAAAAGTCTTAGTCACTGATAAAAATAACTTCTCTAGTATAAAAACCCTTCCTAGAAACTTAAACTCTGCTTTTAACTTAGGCTGGCACTCAACATCTAAATGTTAACTGCTAAGTATACCTGGCTCTAAATTCCCCCATATTTTGTAATCTCCAATTATTAATCTTTGGATCCTTGGGTTATTTGCGTAGAGATTTCCATACCCCTTAGATATTTCGATCTTACTGTCTGAACCTCGCTACAACTGGATCAGTCTCCCCAGTACCACCCTACTATTAATAGGCACAGCTAGGGGATAGTGATGAAGAGCTTTACTGAAATGATCCAGAAATATGAAAGGCCTACATGCTCCAAACCAATCCATTTGGTCAGAACTTACAGGATTTTTTTTTTTTACTATTTTCCATTTTTATCTCTGAATTTTCTTTAGAATGACCCATTCCTAATTTCTAATTGAGAGGAATTCCTCCAATATTTAATACTATCCCATAAAAATACCTAACTTTCTCAGAAACTTCAGTGTTATCAGTCTCTCACCATTTCTACTAGTGTCTGTCACAATCTTCTGGAATTCTTTATCTAATAAAGTAATTCCTACTGAAGGCAAAATAGACTGAAGTCCTTCTGCTGAAATGTAATTTTCTTGAAGTTTACTGATAGCTTCACAGAAGTTTTCTAAATATACAAAATGTAGAGAATTAGGCAACAGAATTCATGTGTCAAAAGCAATTAATACCCAAAATCTGTAGAAATTAAAGAAGTTTTATCTATTTTATATTACCTTATAGATTTTATAGGACTGCTTTTCTTTCCATATATCTGTTGTATAACATTATATTTAATCTTTCTCTTATAGCTCAAACACAGAACTGTCTTAACATTCTATAAACCTATATAATCTACTTGTTTGGGGGAACAGCCTGTTCCAGTGGCCCAGCCAATGCTGCTGGCTTCTGATTAAAATAAAATTAATGGGGCCAGGTATGGTGGCTCCTGCCTGTAATCACAGCACCTCGGGAGGCCAAGGCAGGTGGGTCACTCGAGGTCAAGAGTTCGAGACCCGCCTGGCCAACATGGTGAAATCTTGTCTTTACTAAAAATACAACAATTAGCTGGGCGTGATGGCGCATGTGTGTACCCCCAGCTACTCAAGAGGCTGAGGCAGGAGGATCACTTGAACCCAGGAGGCAGAGGTTGCAGTGCACTGAGATCGCACTCCAGCCTGAGTGTGTGTGTGTGTGTTTATATGTGTGTGTGTAAAATTAATGAGTCCAAGAAATAAAAACACCAAAATGTTTTGTTTAAATTGAAGAATTCCAAGCAAAACTGTAGAGTTCTTCACCCTCCCATTAATTTACTCTACCATGTTTTCAGTTCATAACCTTCAAAAAATAAAGTCTTAGAAGCAAATACACGTAGACGTCATGTGCTTCTTACTATGATGCACTGAGATGGTTACAATATCACTTCTGAGGTAATCTGACCAAAAATGCATAATCTGAATTTATTCATGAAGGAATAAAAGAAAAATCCAAAATGAAAGGTATTATACAAGACAACTAGTCAATACTCTTCAAAAGTATCAAGGTCATGAAAGATTGAAGAAGCATCCCAGATTGAAGGAGACTAAGGAAAAGTGACAACTAAATGTAGTGGGTAATTCTGGATTAGATTCTGGAATTGAAAAAGAACATTTATGGAAAAACGACAAAATTTGAATAAGGTCTGTAGATCAGTAAGCAGTATTGCATCAGTGTTAATTTCCTGGTTTAGATCATGTCCTGATGGAAATGTTTGTACTACTTTTGTGACTCTTAAGAAAGTAAAATTATTTAAAAGTGAAAAGTTAGGATTTTTAATGTAAATCATACAGGCAGTCATATTCCATAAAATTCCAATTACCATCAATTTGTTTTGGGAAGTTATGCCAGATAAACTATCACATACTTCTCTATATTCAGAACATTAAATATGGCAGTGGTAGGTGACATCATTTTATTTTAGTGACACGAGAAAGGTAGATACCACTTTCTTCTGACAGCCTCTTCTACCCATGTCTGTCTGCTGTTTCATTATTCCTTTAACCCAAGGTTTTAATTCTTATTGAAATAAAAATAACTCTCAGAAATACAAATGTGGCACAAAGTAGCAGCAGTGCCTTGGTGAAGGAATCAGAAACAGGATGATCATCACTGTGCCTCCTTAATAGATCACATTCCTTTTTTCCATTGAGTTATTTGAATTTGCACTAAGGTATGAATCACAAATTTTTCACTAAACAATCATTTTATCTATTACATTAAATACTAAATGTGATATGAAAGTCAGTGAGTTTTTAAAAGAGAATAAATAAATATGACTTAAGCAACTTCAGCAGAGGACTACAAGAAATCTTTAATTGGGTTCCATACACACTGCTTCTGTGATGAAATACAGAGAGAGAAAATATATTGATTGGGAAACCATTGCTTATCTTTGAGAAAAATCATAAAGACTTGGAGACCTAGATATATAGTATTATTTTTTTCCTGATATTCTCCTTCCATAAGAGATAATACCTGAAGTACTATATTATATATTTAAATTACAGCACTCTAAGCAAAAATTTCACATAGATTTCCTACTTGTTTAAATATTTAATAAATTACAAAATAAACATTTCCAAAAGAAGCCAGGCCTTCTACTTTCTAGGGAATATTAATGACTCCAATTAATCACTGAATAAGTTTCTCAGGAAAAGTTAAACTCCTCCCTAAAGAGGACATCTGAAACGGAATTATCATCAAAATCACAATATTATATCCATTGGTCTGTGTCAGAAGTGGCAGGCCAGACTTGGCGGCTCATGCCTGTAATCGCAGATCCTTGGGAGGCCAAGACGGGAGCACTACTTGGGGCCAGGAGTTCAAGACCAGCCTTGGGAGCATAGTGGGACCCCAACTCTATGAAAAAAAAAAAAGCTAGCTGGGTGTGGTGGCATGCGCCTATGCTCCCAGCTACACGGGAGGCTGAGGAGGTGGGAGGATCACTTGAACACAAAAGGTCGAGGCTGCAGTGAGCTAGGATCATGCCACTATACTCCAGCCTGGGTGACAGAGTGAGATTCTGACTCAAAAAATAAATAATAGACAAACATATAATTCAGTGGCATTAATCACATTTACAAAGGTGTACCACCATCACTACTGTACATTTCCAGAATTTTTGCGTAGGCATGGTGGTTCACGCCTGTGAATCCCAGCACTTTGGGAGGCCAATGCAGGAGGATTGCTTGAGGCCAGGGGTTTGAGACCAACCTGGGCAACCCTGTGTCTATAAATAATTTTAAAATTAAAAAAAAAAAGAAGTGGTGGTTACCCAGGGTGTTAACAATTGAAATGCTTACAACTATCTAATAATTGACTCATTCTGTTCATTTCTGTGATGACTGAAGAACTCGAGAAGCTAGATTAATATTTACCCAGAGTATTAATTGCAGTTTTTTCCGTAGACGAAACCTGCTTTAGGAGGCTGGAACGCTTTCTTACAGTTGGCTTCTGAAGTTTTGGGATACTAGAAATATCACTTTTATCCAGCGACTTACTGAGGCTTGTACTACTCTTCAAGCTTTGTGGTTTAGACTTTGAGTCATGAATTTCACCCTTCTCTGAATGTTTTTTAAAGTTTATGCCATTCTTTGAATATGGTTCTTGGACTCCTACATTACTGCTGCTGACCCCATCCAGAAATTTTCTTATTTGCCAAGTATTTTTTGATCTTTTAGATTCAAGGTCATTGTTCTCCATAATTTTGCTATAATATTGGTTGCTTTTGTTATTTAACTTTTTGGATATTGAAGGTTCAGGGAGTTTGGAAGATAAACTGTTTTTCTTCTTATATTTTAGATAGCATCCTGCTATACTTGATAACTTTCTGTCTGAAGTAATTTCATCCAAAGGTGATTCTTCCGTAATTGCTAAATAAGAGAAATATACAATTATTTCATTTACCTGTATAATCTGCAACACATTTCAAAACTAACAACTAAGTCCTCATGAAAACTATTCAAGAAATTATTAGTTGCTTAAACACATAAAACAAACCAAAAAAATTAAAGAACTGACAGTCAAAAGATTGGACCATTAACTAGGTCAAATATAATGTGCTGCTTTAATATATTTACATATTCCCATCCAACGCTATTTAAAGTTACACTGAAACTAAAATGATAGCCTAATGAAGCATATGGTTCTCATTCCCCACTCTTTCCCAATTGACAAAGGTTATAGACTAATAAGCTAATACAGACAGATATTCCTTACTTATAAAAGTACAGAACTATGAGGAAAGGGGAGATTTGATTTATAAAATTAGAACTTAAGTAATTACTCTCCTAAATATTCTTGGTATTTGTGGAGGAAAAAATAACTTCATATATAACACAACAGCTTTAGAAAAATATTAACACAATGCCCCAAACTGGGACTTCATTTACAAAATTTATCTGATGTTTCAGAATCTTATCTTACATTTGAATAACACATTTTAAAGCATTTCAAATGTTATAATATTTGATCCTCAAAACAACTCTATGAGACGGTCAAGCAGCAGCAGTATAATCTCAACTATGAATAAATTTTGCCTAGAGGAAATAAAAAAGTTTCTTATTTCAGACTCTATGAGAATGAACAATTGAAAATAAATAAATGAAAATATTCGAATATTAAAGTCTGAAAATACTTAAAGATGGTGCTATATATGTATCTCTAAGTACACTATCTAACAGATAAATAGGTTAGTGAGCAGGTAAAAATATAATCTTTGACACTTCTGATTTAGGCTTTTGGACCACACCAAACAGCCTGCCCAGAATCTCTGATTCTGACTGATTAAGGGCTTTCCCAGTCCTTCAAATGCAGAGACATCAACATAAGGCAACAAGAAACATGAAAAATCCAGGAGACATAATACTACCAAAAGAGCACAATAATCTCCTGATAGCTGACCCCAAAGAAATGAAGATATAGAAACTTCCTGACAGAATTCAAACTAATTGTCTAGAGAAAGTTCAGGGAATAAAATTAATGACATACAGAGAAAAAAATTCAATGAAATCAGGAAAACAATAAATGACCAAAAATAATAGAATTTTACAGAGACATTGAAATTACACAAAAGAAAATAAACAAACAAAAATCAAGAGTTGAAAAGTGTAATGAAAGAAATGGAAAATACAATAGAGAACATCAGCAACATAACTGATCAAGTACAAGAAAGAATCTGTGAACCTGAAGACAAATTATTTGAAAATACATAGTCTGAGGAGAATAAAAGAAAAATAATGAAAAATAATGGGGAAAGCTTACAGGATTTATGGGACAGCATCCAAAGAGAAAATGGTCAAGGTATAAGAGTTTATGGAGGAGAAGAGAAAGACAAAAGAGTAGAAAACTTACATAAACAAGAACAGAAAACAATCCAAATTTGGGCAAATATGTAAATATCCAGGTACAGGAAGGCCAAATGCCTCCAATCAGATGAATTCAAACAAGACTACACCAAGACATATTATATTCAAACTGTCAAATATCAAGAACAAAAGGGAGATTCTGAAAATAGCAAGAGAAAAGTAAATAAGATATACATTCCAATAAGGAGAGCAAATTTCTCAGCAGACACCTTATGGGTTCATAGAGAATGGAAAATATATTCAGAGTACTGAAGGAAATAAACTGCCAACCAATAATACTGTACCTAGAAAAACTGTCCTTCAGAAATGATAAAGACTTTCCCAGACAAAAGCTGAAAGAATTCATCCTCTAGATTTGTCTTACATGAAATGTCAAAAAGAGTTCTTCAAGCCAAAAGAAAAAGATGCTGTTTAGTAACACAAAAACATATAAATGTGTAAAACTCACTGGTAAAGGTAAGTACACCAAGTCAGAATACACTAATACTGTAATGGTGGTGTGCACTTCACTTACATAGTATGAAGGTTAAAAATAATAAAAGCTGGCTGGGTGCTGTGGCTCACGCCTGTAATCCCAGCACTTTGGAAGGCCGAGACGGGCGGATCAGGAGGTCAACAGATCGAGACCATCCTGGCTAACACGGTGAAACCCCGTCTCTACTAAAAATCAAAAAAATTAGCTCAGCATGGTGGTGGGCGCCTGTAGTCCCAGCTACTCCGCAGGCTGAGGCAGGAGAACAGCGTGAACCTGGGAGGCTGAGCGTGCAGTGAGCAGAGATCGCGCCACTGCACTCCAGCCTGGGCGACAGAGCGAGACTCCGTCTCAAAAAACAATAATAATAATAATAATAATAATAATAATAATATCTACAATGATTTGTTAAGGGAGACAATATATAAAAATCTGTAAATTGTGACATCAAAAATTATAAATGCAGAAGGAGAGACGAGGTAAAAGCATAGTTTGTTTATGCAAGCAAAGCTAACTTGCTATCAGCTTAAAATTGCCTGTCATAACTACGAGATATTTTGTAAGCTTCAGAGTAGCCACAAATCAAAAACCTACAGTAAATAAAAGATAAAAAGGAAAAAAATCAATAGAGAAAAATCAATCATAAAAGAAGAGAAAAATAAGGAAACAAAGGATCTATTAAACAAGCAGAAAACAATTAACAAAATGGCAGTAGTAAAATCCTTCCATATCAATAATTACCTTGAATGTAAATGAATTAAAATCTCCAAAGAAAAGACATAAAGTGCCATGTGGAACTGTGAGTCAATTAAATGTCTTTCCTTTATAAATTACCCAGTCTCAGGTATGTATTTATTAGCAGCATAAGAAAAGACTAATACAGCAACCAAAACAGTATATATAAAAATAGACATAGAAGCCGGGCACACCTTGTTGATTCTGGGTAGCCAGCGCGCAGTGCGAGCGTCAAGCGAGACAGCGCCCGGCGCGCCTTCTCCTCGGCATTGGCCACCGCCACCTCCCAGAACCTCCTCGTGCCCTCGCGTGCCAGGACCGTGGCGGGATCCGCGGTTCACAGCATGTCCACCTCGGCCCCTGCTGCGGAGGGCGAGGGAACCCCCGCCCAGTCCGCATGCGAGAAAGAACCCAAAATGTCTGGTACCAGAGAGGAGAGCGAGGAAGAAGAGGACGAGGACAACGATGAGGAGGAGGAGGAAAAAGAAAAGAGTCTCATCGTGGAAGGCAAGAGGGAAAAGAAGAAAGTAGCGAGGTTGACAATGCAAGTTTCTACCTTACAGAGAGAGCCATTTACAATTGCACAAGGAAAGGGGCAGAAACTTTGTGAAACTGAGAGGATAAATTTTTTTCTAAGTAAGAAGAAAACCGATGAACTTAGAAATCTACACAAACTGCTTTATAACAGGCCAGGCACTAAGAATGTGGGTCAGTTCAGTGGCTTTCCGTTTGAAAAAGGAAGTGTCCAATACAAAAAGAAGTAACAAATGTTGAAAAAATTTAGAAATGCTATGTTAAAGAGCATCTGTGAGGTTCTTGATTTGGAGAGATCAGGTGTAAACAGTGAACTAGTGAAAAGGATCTTGAATTTCTTAATGCATCCAAAGCCTTCTGGCAAACCATCGCCAAAATCTATAAAAACTTCTAGCAAAGGCAGTAAAAAGGAACGGAACAGTTCTGGAATGGCAAGAAAGGCTAAGCGAACCAAACATCCTGAAATTCTGTCAGATGTATCTAGTAGTGATGAAGATGAAAAGAAAAACAAGGAAGAGTCTTCAGATGATGAAGATAAAGAAAGTGAAGAGGAGCCACCAAAAAAAAAGACAGCCAAAAGAGGAAAACCTAAACAGAAAGCTATTTCTAAAAGTAAAAAATATGTGAAAAGTGTCAATGTTAAGAAAGCAGATGGCAGCACCACCAAGAAGAATCAAAACAGTTCCAAAAAAGAAAGTGAGTCTGAGGACAGTTCAGATGATGAACCTTTAATTAAAAAGTTGAAGAAACCCCCTACAGATGAAGAATTAAAGGAAACAATAAATTACTGGCCAGTGCTAACTTGGAAGAAGTCACAATGAAACAGATTTGCAAAAAGGTCTATGAAAATTATCCTACTTATGATTTAACTGAAAAAAAAGATTTCATAAAAACAGCTAATGTAAAAGAGCTAATTTCTTGAGATAGAGGACAGAGAAGATGACTCGTTCCCACAGATTCGAAGATCTGATTTATACCATTATACCAGCAAAGAGAATGTATTTCCTTTTCTAAATCCTTTTTAAGCAACGATAGAACTTACTGCTGACCTCATTATCTTGAGTGTTATGTGAATTTGAGTTTGCTATTTTAAATTGCATTTCTATGCCATTTTTAGTTAAAATCTTGCATGGCATTAATTAATCTTGCTTTTATAGTTGTATTTTGTACATTTTGGGTTTCTTTATATAAGGTCATAGATTCTTGAACTGTCGTGGTTTTTAGTGCACTTAATATTAGCTTGCTTAAGGCATACTTTTAATCAAGTAGAACAAAAACTATTATGACTGGGATTTATACACACAGAGATTGCAGTATTTAGTATATGAAATATTTTGAATACACATCTCTGTCAGTGTGAAAATTCAGTGGCAGTGTGTCCATCATATTAAAAATATACAAGCTACAGTTGTCCAAATGACTGAATTGGAACTTTTCTCCTGCATGTGTATATATGTCAGATTGTTAGCATGACAAAAGTGATAGGTGTTATTTTTGTATTTTTAAAAAACAATTTGTTGCATATAAAGTTTTTTATTTCTTTTGTGCAGACCACTTTTTAAACTCACATAGGTAGGTATCTTTACAGTTGTAGACTATGGAATGTCAGTGTTCAGCCAGACAGTATGATGGAGCAGGGAAAGTCAATTCAGTGATGAAACACTGAAGGAACAGTTATCCTGCTTTGTTCGAAAGTGTCATCAATTTGTAATTTTAGTATTAACTCTGTAAAAGTGTCTGTAGGTACGTTTTATATTAAGGACAGACCAAAAATCAACATATCAAAGCTTCAAAAACTTTGGGAAAGGGTGGGATTAAGTACAAGCACACTTGGCTTATAGTAAATGAACCAATTTTTATTAACTGCTTTTGCCCATATAAAATGCTGATATTTACCGGAAACCTAGCCACCTTCATGATTACGATTAAAGTACCAGATTATAATGCCAGAATATAATGTGCAAGTAATCGTGGATATCTCTGACAGAGTGTGTCTCAAAAATAATATACTTTTACATTAAAGAAATTTAATGTTTCTCTGGAGTTGGGGCTCTGGCTTTTAAAGTTTGGCTAATCAGTGTTGATTCTAGATGATCAACATAATGGACCACTCCTGAATGAGACTAATTTTGTCTTTCAATTTACTGTCTTAAATCAGTTTATTAAATCTGAATTTTAAAACATGCTGCTTATGACAGAATGACACATTTGATGTACCAATTAAGTGTTGAAAAATATCTTTGCATCATAGAACAGAAATATATATTTGAATGTTAACAGGCATTTTCACAGGTTTGACTTGTTTGATAGTTACTTAGACACTAGGGAAAGGTAAATAGAAGTGAACAAAATAAGCAACTAAATGAGACCTAATAATTGGCCTTTGATTTTAAATATTTAATTTGTTCTTATAAATCTTGTCAATAAAATTAATCTAAATCAAAAAAAAAAAAGCCAGGCACAGTGGTTCACACCTATAATCCCAGCACTTTGGGAGGCCGAGGCAGGTGGATCACCTGAGGTCAGAAGTTCAAGACCAGCCTGACCAATATGTTGAAACCCCGTCCCTACTAAAAATACAAAAATTAGCCAGGCATGGCCATGCATGCCTGTAATCCCAGCTACTCAAGAGACTGAAGCAGGAGAATCGCTTGAACTCAGGAGGCAGAGGTTGCAGTGAGCTGAGATCGCACCACTGCTCTGCAGCCTAGGTGACACAGCATGACTCCATCTCAAAAAAAATGGACACAGAGACCAATGGAACAGAATAAAGGACCCAGAAATAAAGTCACATATTTACACCCAACTGATCAACTGTTGGTTTATGCCCAACAGAGCAACAAAGCCAACAAAGCAGTCAAGAATGTACACTGAGGAAAAGATACCCTCTTCAATAAATGGTGCTGGGAAAAGTGGATAACCATATGCAGAAGAATGAAACTAAACCCCTCTCATCATATACAAAAAACAACTCAAGCTGGATTAAAAACTTAAACATAAGTCCTGAAACTAAAAAACTGTTTGATGATAACATAGGGAGAAGTCTACAGGACATTGGTCTAGGCAAAGATTTTATGACTAAGATCTCAAAAGCACCAGCAACAAAAACAAAAATAGACGAATGAGACTATATTAAACCAAAAAGCTTCGCACAGCAAAAGAAATAACAGAATGAAGAGACAACCTCTTGAATGGGAGAAAATATTTGCAAACTATTCATCTGAGAAGGGATTAATATCCAGAATTTATAAGGAATTCAAAAAACTCAACAGTGGGGAAAAAAAAAAAAAACCTTTAAAAACTAGGCAAAGAGCCAGACGTGGTGGCTCACGCCTATAATCTCAGCACTTTGGGAGGCTGAGGCAGGTGGATCACCTGAGGTCAGGAGTTCAAGACCAGCCTAACCAACATGGTGAAACCCTCTCTCTACTAAAAATACAAAACTAGCTGGGCATGGTGGCATATGCCTGTAACCCCAGTTACTTCGGAGGCTGAGGCAGGAGAATCACTTGAGCCCAGGAGGCAAAGGTTGCAGTGAGCCAAGATCGCGCCACTGCACTCCAGCCTGGGCAACAAGTGCAAAACTCCATCTCAAAATAAATAAATAATTAATTAATTAATTAATAACTGGGCAAAGAACATGCATAGACATTTCTAAAAAGAAGACATGTAAATAGCATTTTGAGTATTATATTTTATCTCCCTGATTTAAGAGGGTAAATTATTCAGAGGTTTTCAAAATCCTTTATAAAATAAAACTTATAAATTAAGATTTAATGTAAAGACTTTAATTATAAACAAAACTTGTCATAGCAACAAGAGGTCACTTACGAACATCCTCATACTGTTCCTGTAGCTCATTCAAAATAAATATAATATCCCCAATATCCACCATGTGGTTACCTGTAATAGAATAAGTTCAAATACTGTATTTACTTTTGAACATAGATATATCTGCCATCCTATTCTAACATGAAAACAACACAGAATGTGTGGCAAGTAGGAACAAAGAGCCAACTATTACAAGTTCTGAATAGAATCTGAAATCATGAATTGATAACTCAGTACACACTAAAACATAAGAGTAAGGCCATGGTCTTTTCTCCTTAATAAAAGAGTTTTTCATCAAAAGAAATAGTCATATTTTAAGCTCTCATGCTAATCAGGATATTTTCTCATTTTACATGTTTTTTAGAGTTTATTACAGGTATTTACTTACTCTTTTGACTTCATTTCTAGATTGTGAACTCCTCAAGAACAGAGGATGTGTTTTTCATTTGTTTCCCCAATGCCTCGCAAAGCACCTACTTCTTATCACTAAAAATTATTTTTGACTGAACAAAATATACAGAAGGCAATAAAAAACAATGCAATTCTACATAGTGAATAGCAGACAATGATTTACTTTGTACCTTCTCCATGTCCAGCACTCTCATAACTTCCCACTATTCCTGCCCCTGCCCGTCAAAGACCATTTTTCTTCTTGGATAATGCATGAATGAGGATGTGTTCAGATGCAGTGACCTTGAATAATGTCATTTCAATTGTGCACAGAGATAGAAAACGCTTTGCTCAATAATTCTTGCCTCCAAATATTTGATTTTGTTTGCCATCCAAGATGAAAAAGACTGAAAATTTACTTATCTAACTATAATAGTGATGTTTTTTTTCTTCAGTCTATTCATAAAAAATCAACTGTTCAATAATATGCATAAGTGAAAACTCTGAGAGGAAGAAGCAAATTTTTATTGTTTTCCACAGACAGGAAGATAAGTTTATTTTACTGTCCAATTATTTCATTTAAAAAGTTTAATGTTTGATAAACTTTTGGTATCATAGAAACCTTTCAACATCTACAATGACATATTATTACTATGCACAACTTCAAAAACAAATGCCTCCAGCTCCAAGTAAAGTGATGTTGAACATCCTGACTATAGTTCAGCTGTAGGAAATTTCTTGGATTGCCAATGGTTTCCTTGCCTTGGAAAAAAATACACAATTGAAAAATATAAATAAGACCTTCAATGAGTTGAGAATTATAAAAATGCTATCTGAAGTTCAGTCATCTAGATCTTAGGAAGTTTGCAGTAGCTATAAGAGTTCAACAAGCAAAATAAAACCCTGTGGATATTTAAACTTCAGTCATCCAGGAGGTCCTATAGGTTCACAGTTGGTCTATCAAAAATAAAAGCTATTCCTATTGTGGTAGAACTTGGTATCAGGTTCATATACCATTTTTCACCAGCTCATGAACTCCATTCTCATCGATGATTAAAGATGCATGGAATTCTACATCTGTACATAACTTTCTATTCCTTCCTCAGCATTAGAGATAAGAGGAGAGATTTCACACTGGATTGGTACATCATTGGCATCCTTTAAGTGGGAAATTGCTGGAAGATGAGAGCCATTTTCATCTATAAAGTGACCCCTGCATTGAGAACCCAGCAATAATGAAAGTGTGCCTTGCGGTAGTAAAATTGTCTTTCCCATTCTGACTGTCAGCATTCTTTAGTGTGGAAAAGTCATCTTCCCATAATATTTCATAAACCACAAACTTCTTTGCAAACTAGAAGATGTCAAAGACAAATTTTTCCATACTGATTCCACTGGGCTTATCTGGCTTAATTAAGTGCTGTTGGGTATCCACATAAGGAATCTTCTTTTGAGCCACATGGTGCTGCAACTGAGGTTCATAAACATTGACAACATCCTCAGAAATGGTACGGTGAATAAATGGTTGGCAATATTCTCCACATTGAACGGCAATCATCCATTTGAGCTTCGTTTTTGAGCTGTTGCCAGGGAAACATCACTATATTCTACCACCTGGTAAACTCCATCCACTCGGCAAACCACTCCAACTGGTTCTGCAGGGTTTGTTTTCTCTACCACCTTTGCTCCACAGTCTGCTCCTTTCTGAATGCAAAATCCAATGAACCGTGGGCCTGCCACTTTTACTAATATGTTGTCAACACAATAGACATGAATGCTCCAAATGCCTCTTTGCACCATATCCTCCACAATATGCCAGGCTGCAAGAGCCCAATAAAGACCACCATTCTCATGTGGAGCAATAGAAACTTTGTTCTTCTCTTCCAAAATAATTTGCCCATCAAAACTCATGGCAGGGAGCATTCCTTGCTGAAAAAAAGATTATATTTTCTTTTCTTTTTAAACCAAAGTACTTGTGCTTGGTGAAGAACTCCTTGTAGATTCCGCTGTTCTGCCACTGATCATTATATGGAATCATGCATTTGTTGCCATAATATTTTTCAGCTAACTATTGTAGCTTCAGGATATGCTCTGCTTGAATCTGAAAAAGTGTCTTATGGGATGGCAAACCAACATCATACATCCCCTTTGGATATGCAATGAGTCTAGTCCCTTGTCCACCAACTAGAAAAACTGTTACTTTGTTCTGAGAAATCTGGAAAAGTTCTTTGCTTTCCCAGGCCTGGAGCTGATCTAGCTTCCCTGCCCAGTACCTCTCGAGGGACAAGTTCCATTCACGCATCCACCTTTTCTTGATGAGAGGACTGGTTAAATCCTTCAATGGCCTTTTAGAAGAAGAAGTTCAGTTCCTCAAAGTTGAAGGCCTAGAGCTCTGCATAAAGTTCTACCTGTTGGGCTTCTTCAAGCTCACTCCAGACACGTAGTGGGTGTTCTTGCTCAGCTTTGGACAACCTGAGTTTGAGGTCATTAGTGTTCATAATGCTCTGATAGCCAAGCTTTGTGAAAATAGGGATGCAATGCATGAACCTACAAAGCTTCCTCAGTGCGACCACAGCTCCACCCGGCTCCTTCTGCGCTGGCGTCCTGTGTCCCCTCTGAATATATACCCTCATCCTGGGCCATGGCAGCTGGGTGGGGCAGGCTGGGACCAGGGCCAAGGGGAGTGGCCCAGCCACCCTGCCCCTCTTGCCGCGACGAGAAGCAAATATTTAAATCAAAGAATAGTATCATTTTGGTGTTGGGTCCACCTGATTCACTCTGATTCTCTGAAAATTGGTAAACTATGTATTTCAGGTGCAGGCCTTTAAATCACTGCAAAGCAAGTACTATGTGTTTGAACCAATCAAAGAAATGCTAGACAAAATTGGTGCTAAAGTGCCTTCTGATTAGAGATTGCTTCCTACATTCTGGTTTCTTATTTCCTTGGTATTTATCCTCATCCTAGTTTTGATTATAGTTCTAACACTTCCCATAACCTCCCCCAGTAACTGGCACTTACGGTAGATTGATTGCATGTCCCATGTTCTTAGATCATAGCTTAAGTCCTAAGACAACTCAAAGCTTCTTCAACCCACAAGCTCTTGAATCTGATCATTAAAAAGTATTCTGTTAGACCATACATGTATTAATCCAGTGGAAAAGGCCATCTTGCTTTTACCTGCTCTTCATTTAGAAAACTCCTTTCTCTGAACAGAAGTCCAGCCTCAACTAATAAGAGTGTGGTAGTCAACCATGTTCACAGATTCATTAGCTCTTGCTCAAATTTATTCCTTGCATCTATGCAATAATAAACACCTATCATGAAACTCCCAAACAAATATTACCTACTTAAATAGTCCCTAGTGGCCGAAGACACATTCCAGAATCTGAAATGACGATCTTGGTCCCTATCTGACTTAGCAAAACCTTAAAGAATGATTCCTGGTTGAAACTAAGGCAATCAATACGGTCATAGGTATCATTTATTTCCTAAGGGAAGCTCAAAACAGCCTCCTACTCTAAGGTATATAATTCTGGAAGAAATTCATCCTGGAAAACACAACTACCTACTGTGAGAGGGAAAAAAAAATGATCCTAATTATTAAGGTCATATATGCAAGGCAACATTACTCTGAAGGTACTAAGTGACCATTAACACTACATTTCTGTAATCTTCAGGTAGCTCCACAATATCAAAAGCCTCCTCTAGTAAAAACTGCACTAGTCACAACTTTCCAACCAGTTCAATTTTTCAGATCTCTAACCTCCATGAGAGAAAAAAAAAACTGCTATACCAATACACTATTTCAGAAACCAAAATACCTGACCCTCTAAGAACTGCCATCAGCTGATTTTCCATATGGCACTTCTTGCCATATCTAAATAAAGCAAATCCTCCTTGGACTTTCCTGAAAATTTCAGAGGCATAATTCCTTCTCCCTCATTGTGAACACCTATAAAGATGAACATATTATCTACCTATCATCTTCAACAATATACCAAATACAAAAATAAGATGCTAGAACAGTACCTGCAGTGCTGTCTTCTTTTAGCAGGATAACTGTGTTGTATTATTTCTTACTGCAAAATTCTGCTACAGAAAAATTAACATCTCCTACCTGGGTAACCCAAAATTGTTGGCATCCTGGGGTTAACTTTTCCTTTAACATTAAAATAGCTCAGACCCCAGAGCATACACTAACATAAATCAATACCTTGACCAAAATTTGAGGATTCCTGAGTCATTTGTACTCTTTTTTGTTTATTTTAGGTTTGTTTCTCTATTCCCATGGACTCTTGATCTCACTCACATTATTGCCTTCTACAGGTGCAATCCTCTTTCTGCCCCAAGAAGATCCAACATAGAACCCATAGGTCTTTATCCTTGAAATCTCCCCACCAACAATATTAATACAAGTTTATTGTATATAACCAACTTTTACTGGTAATTTGCAATTGATGGGAGTAAGGGAGTTCTTAAGAAGCACAGCAAGCAACTACATACTATAGTCCTAAAGTTCTGTGGTTACTCTACCCTCACTCACTCTTAGGTTCTATCCATCTTCTTCCTCCACTACTGAGCCACCACTATATTTCAAATCAAATTCCTGTTGCTTTCTTATGTACAGTACTTTACCTTATCTTTTTGCTCAATCTAGATGTTTCCCAGTATGTTTTAACTCTCATAATCTAATATATCTATTAAGATGATTTTCCTGGTCAAAAGATAAGGACTTTCCTTATGAGGAATTTTGCCTCAAACTGCAGCCAGCTTGTTTATATGATAAAATAAAGAATATTTTGTTCTTTCTGATTGGAAGATGTGGCATGAGGAATCTGAATTATCCACTCATTCAACAAATATTTGTTGAGCGGTTAATATGTGCCATAAGCACCATGCTAGGTATTGAAGATACAATATTAAGCTAAAGCAGACATGATATCTGCTCACCTGATGCTCAGTCTTATTTGAAACACCAATGTCAATCCAACAAAAATACAAATTTCAATTGTGAATCGTGCTATGAGAGTGTATAACATGAGAATCTGACCTACTCAGAGAGGTCTGGGAAAACATCCCTGAGGAAAAGACAGTTGAGTTTGGATCTAAAGTATAAGTAGGAATTAACTTACACTTTAAGGGGAGAGAAAGGTTCAAGGAAGAGAAATGAACACATGCAACAGCCATTTGGCAAGAAGGGGCATGGTATGTAGTTGAAACTAAGAAGGCACAGAGAGCAAGGGAGAATATGGTCTCAGATAAAGATGAAGATCTGGGTAAAAGCCAGAACATGCAAGGCCCTGTAAACCACACTAAAAGAGTTATTTATCCCAAGAGGTATTAGATTTCATGTGAGGAGAATAACATGATCAGACCTGTATTTGAACGAAGATCATTACGGCTGCACTGTAAAGGAATATAAGAGTGGATAGGGGTATATTTGTTAGGATGAACTGCAATGGTCCTGAGGAAAGGTTATGTGAACTTGGACTAAGATAGGAAGATAAAGAGAAATAAATCAGGCCGGGCGTGGTGGCTCAAGCCTGTAATCCCAGCACTTTGGGAGGCCGAGACGGGCGGATCACAAGGTCAGGAGATCGAGACCATCCTGGCTAACACGGTGAAACCCCGTCTCTACTAAAAAATACAAAAAACTAGCCGGGCGAGGTGGTGGGTGCCTGTAGTCCCAGTTACTCGGGAGGCTGAGGCAGGAGAATGGCGTAAACCCAGGAGGCGGAGCTTGCAGTGAGCTGAGATCCAGCCACTGCACTCCAGCCTGGGCGACAGAGCAAGACTCCGTCTCAAAAAAAAAAAAAAAAGGAGAAATAGATCACATCTGTAATCCCAGCACTTTGGGAGGCCAAGGCACGTGGATCACAAGGTCAGGAGATCCAGACCATCCTGGGAACATGGTGAAACCCTGTCTCTACTAAAAATACAAAAATTAGCTGGGCGTGGTAGCACGTGCCTGTAATCCCAGCTACTCGGAGGCTGAGGCAGGAGAACCATTTGAACCAGGGAGTCGGAGGTTGCAGTCAGCCAAGATCACACCACTGCACTAAAGTCTGGCAACAGAGAGGAGTAAAAAAAAAAAGAGAGAGAGAGAGAGAAATGGAAAGACTTAAGAGATATCTATCTTATATACAGAAAAAAGAGGAAAAGTTCTTAAAAAGATATATCGAAGACTTTAAATAAGGGAACTATTGCATGAGGAATAGAGAGGTAGAGTTGTCAAGGATGACTCTCAGGTTTCTACCTCACCCTTCTTGTGTCTATTCTAGGTGCCAAGCACTGTGATGTGTATATTTAATTCCTATAACAAGTCTATAAAATTAGTATCATTTGTCCAATATACCTCCCCAAATAAAGCAGGAGACCTGGAGACCGAGACCAGAACTCCACAAGCAAAAAGCAAAGTACTGCAGCTGTTTCATATATGATTTCTGTTGTTCCTGGTAGGGCATGCCCTAAAGGCTTAAGATTAGGCTTTAAAATCCCCATTTTACATTTTCATACCCCATCATATCCTTCCACTCATGCCTCACCCCAGAGCCCACCATACCTGACTTCTTAATAGAACTCCATGTGGCTGGATTCTATCTCCAGACCACATATCAGCAACCAAAAGCCCACTACAAAACCACCATTAATAAATGACAAAAACTAGTAGAAGCCCACTCAGAAAGATGTCATGTCTGAGTATTTTTCTGCCATATTTACACAAACTGTTCCTTTGGCTTAAGATGTTTTTCTCACTCTTTGCTACCACCTTCAACTACTTAATTCATACTGATCCTTCAAAATTCAGCTCAGACATCAGTTCCTCTGATAATCTTTCCCCAAGGCTTCCAGTATGTATTAGCAGCCTATGTACACTCTATTATAGTATTTGCCATGGAGCATTTTAATTTTTGGTTTGCTTAGTTTTTTCCACACTTGAATGTGAGTTCCCTCAAAAAAAAAAAAAAGAAGAAGAAGTGTGTTTTATTCATCTTTGCATCACCTAGCACAGTTCCAGGCATAGTAGATATTAAATGACTATCTGATTCATTAAGTGAATGAATCAGGCTGGGCCCAGTGGCTCATGCCTGTAATTCCAGCTACTCAGCAGGCTGAGGCAGGAGGATCACTTGGGGCCAGAAATTTGAGACCAGCCTAGGAAACATAGCAAGACCTCATCTCTACAAAATAAAAATTAGCCTGGCATGATGGCACACACCTATAGTCCTAGCTATTCAGGAAGATGAGGTGGGAGGATTACTGAGCCTAGGAGGTCAAGATTACAGCAAGCTATGATCACAATATTGCACTACAGCCTGGGCAACAGAGTGAGGCTCTAAAAATAATAAAATAATAAAATGAATCAATCAATTAATCACTAATTATTATAGGACATCCTCTGGTTACAAGTAAACATGTAATACAAAACACCTGCTAAATATTTTTATCATGTTTAAAGCAATCCGCATTGTACAGAGAGTAACTGAAGGGCATAGCAAAATTGTTTAATCAAAGCTACATAATAAAGTTGAGAATTCAAGAAATTTAGGTCTTCTAACTTGTGGAGTCAATGCCCTCGACACTACAAGAAACTACTTCTCCACAAAGACCAGAAATGACTTGGAAAAGAGATATAAGGCTGAATTCTTTTAAAATTCATTTTACTCTTTTACCAAACATACCAAACTATAACAATTTTAGAAACTTCTCACTTAATTTTTCTAGACTATTTCTTACTATAGACACCAGTAAACAGTGTCAATGGCAAAAGGTAAGAATCAAGAGAAAAAAGGAGAAGCAAAGGACAGATCGCAAAATTGATATCCAGAAAAAAAATGTATAAATACATGCACATATATATTTACATATATATTTCAATGCAAATAACTCACTGTCAATATAGGTATGTTTTATCACTTCTTCTAAAATTTCAGGGTTTATAGGGATACCCATGTTATCCAAAACACCAAATATTTCATCAGTTGAAACTCGACCACCTTTTATCCTACAGAAAATCTTCAAGGCATCCCAGAATGCTGCAAAAAACAAATTAGTATACCATGAGAATCAATAGCTTTTCTTGGAAAAGGAGGTGACTTTGTGTCAATAGCCCACTAAGGGAAAATAACCTTATATAAGCACGGGATTTTATAAATATTTATCAACAAGTAAATCACTGTTATAAAATAACTTTATAATAGTGACTAAAACATTGGTCTTTTTTTCTCCATAGGAATTTCATATTCTTATGTTAACAATCCTTAGCATATAAAATGAATTGAAAAGAACCTGGTCAGAAGGAAATATTCAGCATGACCCTGACTAGCAAACCAAATCTGGGGCTCCGCAAGACATCTACTTCTGAATCTTAGATTCTATAATTTTAGAACAATTTAACTAAAATAAATTAAATACCAAATCACTTTATCATTTTCTAAAATTTGTAGTCACATCAGAGAGCTCAGTATATTTTTAATTTTAAAAAGAAAATATTCAGATAAATTATAATTTTCCACAAAAAAACTTCCTTAAGAATTAAACAGATTGAAAGCCGTGTTCAACTGCTAAATTTAAATTCTCCCTGACCACTACTAATTAGCCTTGACAAAAAAAAAAAAACACAATTCCCATGATCAATTTCAGACAGAAAATCACATTATAGTCAGACTAGATTTTCTTGAAATTCATCATATAATAAACTAATGATTACTAAGTTCTTTGATAAGTACAATCAAGGAGAAAAAGCTGGGCATTATTTATTCATTCAATTAGTCTTTTTTTAATTAATTAATTTTTTTAAGACAGGGTATCTCTCTGTAGCCCAGGCTGGAATGCAATCACACAATCTCAGCTTACTGCAACCTCTGCCTCCCCAGCTCAAACGATTCTCCCACCTCAGCCTGTTGAGTAGCTGGGACTACAGACACGTACTACTATACCCTGCTAACTTTTTTGTATTTTTGTAGAGATGGGGTTTTGCCATGTTGCCCAGGCTGGTCTCGAACTCCTGGGCTTAAGCGATCCACCCGCCTTGGCCTCCCAAAGTGTTGGGAATACAGGCATGAGCCACCATGCCTGTCCTCAACTACTCATTATTGATCAAGTTAACAAAAATAGCAAAGGAAGGGACCTCCAGAAACCATCTCCTCCATAAAAGCAATGAGAACTCTGGCAGAAATTATCAGAACCAACTTGTTTCAAAACTCTGAAAATAAGCCAAAGGCTTGCAGTTATCCGAGGAATTTCTTCAAGAAAAATGACTGAGTCTCAACAAGAACAGTGAGCTTTGTGGCATTTTAACTTGCCCTATTCCCGTCTACCCATCTCCAGGTTCCCTGGAGCATTGAAAACCAGTACTCTACAATCATGATGAAAATGTGTGTGTGCACTAATGAGGTGAGAAAGGCCTCTTTAAGCACAACTCAAAACTCAGAAGACACAAAGAAAAAATAATAAATTTTGTGATAAAATGTAACAGTCCCGTTCCAAAAAACAAGGACACCATTTCAAAATTAAAAGAGAAACCATAGACTAGAAGAAAACACTTGTAACATACATGACAAAGGATTAATAGCCAGAATATGAAAACTCCTACAAATCAATGAGATGAACAATCTAGTTTTTTAAATGAAAAGTATATGTGAAAAGGCAATTCATACAAAAAATATATGAATGACCAGTAATTATATTAAAAGATTACTAATTTCATAATTGAAAAATACAATTAAACAAGATAGTTTCTGCAAATCAAGGTGGCAAAATTTCTTTTTCTCTTAAGAAAAAGATACCTGCATTTTTCCCTTTTATTTTTTTCTAGGGGGTCTCTTGATTTCTAACTGTATGCCTGATCTTTTTACTAGTTTCTATGAGACCTAGGTCCTTTGCTTCCACTCTGCCTAGTGATTGATAACTCATTTTGCCTTGACCAAACATAAATTATATGTATGTATGTGCATATAAAAAGAATTCTTGGGTCAGTATTAAATTGTAGCAATCTTAGAGGGGTTAAAGAAGGTCTTTCACATCTTTATACACATATATTGCTTGGATATTTTTTTAAAACAATATATTCAAGAATTATGTGTGTTCTTTTAAAAGAAAAAAAAGAAACCTGAGAGTTCTTGATTAGTCTCAGAACACTATGTCCATAAACAGAAAATAAGGTCAAAATAGGAAACCAGGACTTGAAAAATCAAGGAATATAGGGAAGTAAATAAGCTATTCTAAGTTGTAACTCAAAAAGTGGTCCCTACGCGCTGCTCTGTCTGTCCAAGTAGAAGTTGCAAATTAGTCCTGCCTCCTATCCACCATTTTTCCCTATTGTCTGGATCTCAACTTACATTTTTTTCTGACTATAGATTTATATGTGTGTTTGGACTCCTAAGTACTGACCACAGATACATACATATAATTTATGTTTTGTAGCAGGGCACGGTGGCTCATGCCTGTAATCCCAGCACTTTGGGAGGCTGAGATGAGGCAGTGGATCACCTGAGGTTAGGAGTTCAAGACCAGCCTGGCCAACATGGTAAAATCCCACTTCTATGAAAAATATAAAAATTAGCCAGGCGTGGTGGTTTGCGCTTGTAATCCCAGCTACTCGGGAGGCTGAGGCAGGAGAATTGCTTGAACCAGGTAGGCAGAGGTTGCAGTGAGCGAGATCGCGCCATTGCACTCTAGCCTGGGCAACAAGAGTGATATTATATCCAAAAAAATAATAGTAATTTATGCTTTGTCAAGGTAAAATGAATTATCAAAAGGTCAAAATAGGAAACCAGGACTTGAAAAATCCAGAAACATAGGAAAGTAAATAAGCTATTCTAAGTTGTGATTCAAAAAGTGGTAAGTAGACACTCACATCGTGAACTTTTGTGCCAAGAACTACTGCAGGAACATACCAGGAAAGCCAAGAGAATCCACAGACCCCTTGAAAGAGGTGGATGCCCTTGCAGGCTCTGTGGGACAGCCAAGTAATTGTGAGTCTGCTTGCTTTCTCAGTGGGGAGGCTTGTAGCCTGGGGCAAGTTCTCATCCCTGCTCACTGCCTGCCTGGAAATAAACTGTGCTATAGGTGAAGCACAGTGGGAGTGACACCAGTCTTTCAGACTGTGGGCTGCGTGGAAGCTGAGTGAGGCCTATCACTGCTGGTTTTCCCCCACTTCCCTGGTGACCTGTCAGGCAGCAGAGGCAGCCATAATCCTCCCAGGAACATAACTCCATTGGCCTGGGAACCACACCCTCACCCCGACAGCAGCTGCAGCAAGGCCCACTCAAAGAGAGTTTGAGCTCAGACATGCCTAACCTGCCCCAACTGATGGTCTTTCTCTACCAATCCTGGTAGCAGAAAACAAAGAATATATCTCTTGAGAGCTCTATGGCCCTGCCCACCACCTGACCCTAGGGCAACCTTGTAATCTCCCTGTACTACTACAGCTGATGTGCTCTTGAAAGTGCCACCTCCTGGCTGGAGGCCAACCAGCACAAAACCAGCACACTAAACAAAAATACAACCAAGGACCCTAACAGAGTCCACTTCATTCCCGTGCTTCCTCCATTGGTGCAGGTGCTGGTATTCACAGCTGAGAGACCTGAAGATGGAACACATCACAGGACTCTTTGCAGACACTCTCCAATACCAGTCTGGAGTCTGGTAGCTCCACTGGGTGGCTAGATCCAAAAGAGAAATAACAATCACTGCAGTTTGGCTCTCAGGAAGCCCCTTGTTCAGGAAGCCCTATGTCTCAGGAAGCCCCTAGGGAAGGGGAAGAGCACCAAATCAAGGGAGCACTCTGAGGGACAAAAGAATCTGAATAGCAGCCCTTGAGTCCCAGAGCTTCCCTCTGACATAGTCTACCCAAATGAGAAGGAACCAGAAAAACAATTCTGGTAATATGACAAAATAACGTTCTTTTACATCTCCAGAAGATCACACTCCAAAGTTTAGCAGCAATGGATACAAATCAAGATGAAATCTCTAAATTGCCAGAAAAATAATTCAGAAGGTCAATTATTAGGCTAATCAGGAGGCACCAGAGAAAGGTGAAGTCTAACTTAAAGAAATGAAAAAAAAAAAGATACTGGATATGTATGGGAAAATCTCCAGTGAAATAATATAAATAAAAAACAATGATAACTTCTGGAAATGAAGGACACACTTAGAGAAATGCAAAATGAGCTGAAAAGTCTCAGTAATAGAATCAAATAAGTAAAAGAAAAAACTTCAGAGCATGAAGGCAAGGTTTTCTAATTAACCCAATACAACAAAAACAAAGAATAAAGAATTTTTTTAAATGAACAGGCCGGGTGTGGTGGCTCAGTCCTGTAATCCCAGCACTTTGGGAGGCCGAGGCAGGTGGATCATGAGGTCAAAAGATCGAGGCCATCCTGGCCAACCTGGTGAAACCCCGTCTCTACTAAAAATACAAAAATTAGCTGGGTTTGGTGGCATGCACCTGTAGTCCCAGCTACTCGGGAGGCTGAGGTAGGAGAATCATTTGAACCTAGGAGGCAGAGGTTGCAGTAAGCCAAGATCGCATCACTGCACTCCAGCCTGGCAACAGAGCAAGATTCTGTCTCAAAAAAAAAAAAAAAAAAAAAGAACAAAGCCTCCAGGAAGTTTGGGATTACTTTAAATTACCAAGTCTAAGGATAATTGGTGTTTCCAACTATGCAGCCATAAAAAAGGATGAGTTAATGTAGGGACATGGATGAAGCTGGAAACCATCATTTTCAGCAAACTAATGCAAGGACAAAAAACCAAACACTGGGCCGGGCGCGGTGGCTCAAGCCTGTAATCCCAGCACTTTGGGAGGCCGAGATGGGCGGATCACAAGGTCGGGAGATCGAGACCATCCTGGCGAACACGGTGAAACCCCGTCTCTAAAAAAATACAAAAAAACTAGCCGGCGAGGTGGCGGCGCCTGTAGTCCAGCTACTCGGGAGGCTGAGGCAGGAGAATGGCGGGAACCCGGGAGGCGGAGCTTGCAGTGAGCTGAGATCGGCCACTGCACTCCAGCCTGGGAGACAGAGCGAGACTC